TAATTCCATAATTATATATTACATTTCTGTCATCCCCACTGTGTAATCTGCTGTTCTGATATCTGGTACATATCACAGGCGCTCAATGAATATGTACTGAATGAATGAATGTAGAATACATTGCAGGCAAGCACCTAATAATAAAATAACTTTAAATGAAAAACTCTACTGTAAAGATCACTAATAATTTAATAAGGCCTGATGATCTCTAGAAGGCCTTCAGTTCTAGTTTGACAATATTTAGGGTATTCAAGGAAAGATGTTCATGATACATTGCTAAGTGGGAAAAAAAGGTCTATTATGTATATGTATAGTTTTGTAAAAAAAAAATTATATATATGGCCTCTAGTTGTTTGGTAAAAAATTGAAAAATATACATACATGCATGCGTGTGTGTATTTATTCATCTATGCATATTAATGGGAAGGAGAGAGTGTGTAAAAATAATGTGTTTGAGCCAGGCACGAAGGCTCAAGCCTGTAATCTCAGCACTTTGGGAGACCGAGGCAAGAGGATTGCCTAAGCTTAGGAGTTTGAGACCAACTTGGGCAACTTGGTGAGACCTCATCTCTACAATAAATCAAAAAGTAAGCTGGGTATGGCAGTGCATGCCTGTAGTTCCAGCTACTTGAAAGGCAGAGGCAGAAGGAGCCCAGCAGGTAGAGGCTGCGGTGGCTGTGAGCATGCCTCTGCACTCCAGCCTGGGGGACAGAGTGAGGCTCCAACTAAAAAAATAAAATACTGTGTTTATGTGAAAGAGAGGGAGACTGGGCCAGGCCAGGGTCACATCTCTACTGGCCACAGGACATTAGTTTAGTACACATAAGGTGTCTGATAGGGTTAGTGATATCATCATATGGGTATAAGAAGAAACTTACAGTTACACACCAAGATGTCAGCAGTGATTATCTCTTGGGTTTTGTCTTATACATCTGTATTAGTTTCTTTTAAATCTATATTTTCTGTTTTGTGCCCTATCTAGCACAGTGGTCAAGTTCACAGGTGCTGGTGTCAGTCATTCCTGGGTTCAAATCACAGTTCTACAGTTCATACTTCGTATGACTTTGAACAAGTTATTGAAGCTTTCTGTGTCTCCGTTACTTCATGTGTGTAATGAGATTCCCAGTAATTATACTTGTCTCCCAGTGCTTCCAGGAAGAACAGAGAACAACAAATCATGGAGTGCCTGGGGAAACATTCCGGGCACACAGTAAATGCTCAAAACTGTACACAGTTTTTTTGTTTTGTTTTGGTTTGGTTTGGTTTTTTTGGTGGGGAGCGGGGGAGTTGAGGTCTTACTCTGTCACCCAGGCTGGAGTGCTCGAGTCACCAGGATCTTGACCTTCTGGGCTCAGGTGATCCTCCCACTTCAGCCTCCTGAGTAGCTGGGACTACAGGCACACTCCACCCCACTTGGTTAATTTTTTAATTTTTTTTTTCCTGTAGAGACAGGGTCTTTCTGTGTTTCCCAGACTGGTCTTGAACTCCTGGGTTCAAGCAGTTCTCCTGTTCTGGCCTCCCAAAATTCTGGGATTATAGGTGTGATCTAGCATGCCTAGCCTGTACACGGTGTTATTTATGTGATAAAATAAGTAAATAAAAGTTTTTAGAAAGACAATCTCTTATGGTTTGACGTTAGGTTGCTCTGGGATCTTTGCTCTCTGATTAATATAAGGAGTGATTTTATTCTGGAAAGTTAGAAAAGAAGAAAGGCCAATCCTCTTTTATGTTTTTTTATTTTTTTTATTTTTTGAGTTGGAGTCTCACTCCGTTGCCCAGGCTGGAGTGCAATGGCATGCTCACAGCCATCCCAGCATCAACCTGCTGGGCTACGGCAATCCTTCTGCCTCAGCTTTCCAAGTAGCCAAACTACAGGTGCGCGCTACCACACCTGGCTAATTTTTTAATTTATTGTAGAGATGAGGTCTCGCCAAGTTGCCCAGGCTGTTCTCCAACCCTTGGGTTCAGGCAATTTGCTCAACTCAGCTTCCCAAAGTGCAGGGATTACAGGCTTGAGCCACTGCACCTGGACTTTATTTTTTAAAAACAGAGACAAGGTCTCGCTATGTTGACCAGGCAGGTCTCAAACCTCTGGCGTCAAGTGGTCCTCCCACCTCGGCCTCCCAAAGTACTAAGATTACAGCTGTGAGCCACTGCACCCAGCTTCCCTTTAAAACTGAAGTCATAGCCGGGCTCGGTGGCTCAGCCTGTAATCCCGCGCCTTTGGGAGGTTGAGGTGAGTGGATTGCCTGAGCCTGCGGGTTCGAGACCCGCCTGGGCAACTTGGCGAGACCTCATCTCTACAATAAATCAAAAATTAGCCAGACGTGGTAGCGCACACCTGTAGTTCCAGCTACTTGGAAGGCTGAGGCGGAAGGATCGCCAGAGCCCAGCAGATCAAGGCTACAGTGGCCGGGAGCGGCCACTGCACTCCAGTCTGGGTGACAGAGACTCCAACTCAAATAAATAAATAAATAAATAAATAAAACTGAAGTCATTTGATGCCAGCTCCAAAGTTCTAGAATTTTGTCTGTTTTGTCATTTGACTAGCATAATTTAAACTGCTTTTATGTAGGCCAATGTGAGTTACCTGCTGGCACCTCAAGTTTGTATTTTGAGAAATTATAATTGTAAATGTGTTGGCCCTGGACTCTGAAGTTCTGGAACACCCTGGATCTGCCTCTTATACCACCTGGCGTTCCTACCCCTTCTCTTACTGCTCCCAAGAGGCCCAGGCTCAAGGCTGTCCTCCCCCACATGCTCTGAGTGTTGACCAGCGTCTGGGCCCTGTTCCTTTTTTCCCCCACACTCTTTCCCATGTAGGCCCATTTCCTCAGCTTTCAACTTCCTCCTAGCCCTGCCTCCACTCTTCCCACCTCCCCATCTACCTGCCTCCTTTATGTCTCCACCAGGAGCCCTCGAAGGTGTCTGGAGTTCAGGTTCATCTCCAGCCTTGTCAGACTGCCCAGACCTGCCCCTCTTTCAGTTTTCTCTGTGTCATAATGGCACCAACCTCCAGTCAGTCACCAATGCATCACCTGCCGTGTCTTCTGTCCTCTCAGCTCCTACAGTCAATCAGTCCATCAGCAAGTTCAGTATCATTCCTACACAACGCCTGCCTGGGTAGACTTGTTGGCAGTCTTGTCACTCTCCAAGCCACTCCTCACAAGACAGTGAGAGGAATGCCTTAAAATACATCAATCAGACCGGGCATTCATGCCTGTAATTCCAGCACGTTGGGAGGCCAAGATGGGAGGATTGCTTGAGCTCAGGAGTTTGAGACTAGCCCGGGCAACATAGAGAGGCCTCATCTGTACAAAAAGTTTAAAAATTAGCCAGGCATGGTGGCACATACCTGTAGTCCCAGCTATTCAGGAGGCTGAGGCAGAAAGATGGCCTAAGCCCAGGAGGTCAAGGCTGTGGTGAGCTGTGATCATGCCACTGCACTCCAGCCTGGGTGAAAGAGTGAGACCCCTGACTCAAAAAAATAAAATAGGCCAGCACGGTGGCTCACATCTGTAATCTCAGGATTTTGGAAGGCCGAGACAAGAGGATTGCTTGAGCCCAGGAGTCTGAGACCAGCCTGGACAACATAGGGAGATCTTGTCTTAAAATAAAATAAAATAAAATAAAATAACTCTTTCTTTCTTTTTTTTTTATTTTTTTGAGTCGGAGTCTCTGTCGCCCAGGCTGGAGTGCAGCGGTACTCTTACGGTCACCACAGCCTCGACCTGGTGGACTCAGGTGATCCTTCTGTCTCAGCCTTCCAAGTAGCTGGAACTACAGGCACGTGCCACCACACCCGGCTTATTTTTTTATTTACTGTAGAGACAAGGTCTCACCAAGTTGCCCAGGCTGGTCTCGAACGCATGGGCTCAGGCAATCCTCTCGCCTCGGCCTCCTAAAGTGCTGGGATTACAGGCGTGAGCCACTGCACCTGGCCTTAAAATAACTCTTTAAAAAGCTCATATATCAGATCCTATTGCTTCTTTTGTGTAAGCCATCAAGGGGCTCCCTCCCTCCTGCATGTAAAGGTAGATCTACGCCCATGGACTGTGTCCACTTCCGTGTTCTTACCACCAAGGCCTGCACAGCCCGACATGACCTGGCCCTTCCCCACGCACTGCCCACTGCCCTCGTCCATGCGGTCCACCCCACTCCAGCATGTGGTAAGGGGCTTCCACCCCATTAAGGCTATTACGTGAGTTGTTCCCTCAGCCTAAAGCTGTCTCTCTCCTCTTTCCCATCCACAAAGTTGGTTTATTTTCTGGCCTCAGTTTTTTTTTTTTCAGTCATAGTCTTATTCTGTCACCCAGGCTGGAGTGCGGTGGCATGTTCATGGCCACTGCATTCTCAACCTACTGGACTAAGGCGATCCTTCTGCCTCGGCCTCCCAAAGCACTAGGACAGCAGGTGCATGCCACCATAAGGAGAGTAGACGGTTGACTGATAAAACAGAAGCTTAGCCTGGAAATTCTCTTTTCCCAGGAGTTACAAAGTGTTGTGTTTTTTGTACATTTTTCTAGGAAAAGATCCATAGCTTTTATTGTGTATTCAAGGGAGAAGCTAAACTCCTCAAAAAGTAAAGAACCATAGTCCTGAATGACAAGTAGTGAAAGTAAGAACATAAATCACAATAAAGAAAAGGGCCACGCACAGTGGCTCACACTTGTAATCCCAGCAATTTGGGAGGTCAAGGTGGGAGAATTTCTTGAGACCAGGAGTTCGAGACCAGCCTGGGCATCACAGCAAGACACGCTTTCTACTAAAAAAAAAAAATACATACATATTTTTGAAACCGTACTTGTTACCGATTAAGGATCTGTGCGTGGGACAGTGATCCTTGTGGTCTTGGGCAACGCGGACAACGCTGCCGCCACGTGCTGCAATGAAGGCCGAGTCGGTGGAGCCGAGCCCCGCCCTCTCTCTGCACACGGGCAGCTTTACCGCGAGGACTGCGTTTCCCAGAGTGCCCTGCGGGCCGGGCGGGCGCGCGCGCCGGGTCTCGTAGGACCCGGATGGAAGCAAGATGGCGGGCTGGTGGTGAACCCCGGTCGAGGTAACCGCCACTGTCTCTTTCTCTGGTGGAGTCCCTCGAGGCCGCGCAGGCCCGGGGTTGCAGGCAGGGTTGGGCTGCAAGGGGCCAGCATGAGGCTGGGCGCCCCGCAGGGCTCCCCGCAGTCCGCGGCGGTTGCAGGGGGGCGGAAGGGGACTGTGGCTCCGGAGACCCATCTGGGTTGCAGGTGTGGGGTCTGTCCCTGGGCTTCGGCCCCTGTGCCCCGGGGACCTCCGAGGCTCGGCAGTCTAAGTTTCGGGGTTGAATTTGAGGCGAGGGGCTTGCAACCCGAGACTCCCTGGGGTGAAGGATTCGACCCCCGGCTGGGTGTGCTGGCACCGGACAGAGGGACCTAGTCTCGCCTTAAATGCCTTTTTTTCTTTTTTGAGTCGGGGTCTCCGCCGCCCAGGTTGGCGTGGTGGCACACTCACAGCTCAGCTCAGACTCGACCTCCTGGGCTCAGGCGATCCTCCAGTCTCAGCCTCTAGAGTAGCTGGGACTACAGACAAGCGCCACCAGCCCGGCTACCTTTTTTGTGTGTGGAGACCGAGGTCTTGCTATGCTGGTCAGGCTGGTCTCGAACTCTTAAGGTCACACAGTCCTCCCGCCTCAGCCCCTCAGAGTGCTGAGGCCACGACAGCTGGCCTCAGAATGTCTTGTTCCTGGTCAGAGAATGTTTGCATCCCACCTGTGCCACCTACTAAGCAGCGAAATGCTGGGACGGCAGTCGGCTGACTTTTCTGAATCTTTGTCCTGAATCTATCAAATGAAGATACCGACTTTAAAAATCTTGGTGAACAGTGGCTCAAGCCTGTAATCCCAGCACTTTGGAAGGCGTAGGCGAGAGGATTGCCTGAGCCCAGGGTTCGAGAACAGCCTGGGCATCTTGAGGAGATCTCATCTCTACAATAAATCAAAAAATTAGGCAGACATTGTGGTGCATAATTATAGTTCCAGCTACTTGGAAAGTTGAGGTGGAAGAATCGCCTGAGCCCAGCAGGTTAAGAAAAGATTTTTGGAAACCTTAGAGTCACCTAGCGTGATTCCTACTTTCTCCCTCTTCAGAAAGAGGAACGGGCCAGGCATGGCAGCTTACACCTGTAATCCTAGCTCTTTGGGAAGCTGAAGCAAGAGGACTGCCTGAGCCCAGGGTTTGAGACCAGCCTGAGCAACATGGTGAGACTTCATCTCTACAATAAATCAAAAAACTAACTGGGCGTGGTGGCATGCATCTATAGTTCCAGCTATTTGGAAGGCTGAGGCAGAAGGATCACCTGAGCCCAGCAGGTTGAGGCTGTGGTGGCCGTGAGTGTGCCACTGCACTCTAGCCTGGGGACAAGAGTGAGACTCCAACTCAAAAAAAGAAAAAAGAAAGCTTGGTGGATGGATTCAGGGTCTCTCTCGCCCAGGCTCAAGTGCAGTGGAGCAATCATAGCTAATCAAAGCCTGAACTCCTGAGCCCAAGTGATCCTCCTGCCTCAGCCTCCAAAGTGGTTGGGACTGCAGGTGCACACCACCACACCCACCTAAATTAAAATTGTTTTGTAATGATGAGATCTTCTGGCTATGTTGCCTAGATGGTCTCACATTTTTGACCTCGAGCGATTCTCCCATCTTGTCCCAAAGTGCTATGGTTACAGGCATAAGCCCCTGCACCCAGCTGAATATGCCTGTTTTACAGACTTGGGAAGTCAGCACATAACATCTATGAACGTGAACTGTAGAAAGCACCCTATGATGCCAGGTCAGTGGTAATGTACACACAGTGCAGGGACTCTGCCTGTGTGGCTTAACCTGGGAGATCTCTAGAGGGCTTGTGTCTTGAACCCCACTTATCATTATTAGCGAAGGGGCTTGAATCATCATTGAGGCCAATTGAAAACAAGGGGTCTAACAAGGTTGTCATTTATCACAACAGCCTGTGGGACTATGGTGGTTTTTCCATTGGAGAAACAGGGTCACTCACTTAATGACTTACCAGATGTTCCCAGCTTGACTGATTCTAATGATTTGGAAGCAAGTCATTTAAATTTTGTGCTTTAGTTTCCTCATGGGTCAAAATAAAGACCCCTCACGTGATTAACATGAGAGTCAAATGAAATGGCAAAGTACCCTGGAAAGTGAAATCCTTGTATGCATGTGAGACAGTGTAGTTGCATCTGGGACTGTGGGGTAGAGTTGGTTGACATGTGTTCCTCTACAGAAGTATGTCATAGGCCAAGGACAGGCCTGGTTTAACATGTCATTTGTCAGAACCGAGAATGCTGAGCGATGTGATGGGATCATGTATAGAACCTGGAGGTTGTTCATGACTCACATCATGAGAGCAGGTATCTCCAGTCCCACATGTGAGTGACCTTCCTAGGAGTGATGACACACTTACTGGGGACTCATAGAGTTGGAAGAACCGCCGGTGCAGAGATGTTTCTGCTGAACAGAAGAAGCAGTGGGTGTGGTGCTGGACTTTCCGGCCTTATGGTGTCAACCCTGTTGTCCTTGGCCCCATTGCTGAACTGTGTGAACTTTCAGAGTTGGTGGAAACCTGGCTGCTGCTCCCGTAGTTCCTGGTCAGGGTTCTCATCTCACTTTTTTTTTTAACTAAGAAAAATAAGGAACGCTTCACAAGTTTGCTCTTGTAGTGGTCAGTTCAGTTTACTATAGACAGCACTGATTTTGCTTTCTCTTTTAAGCAGGGATGTACATTGATATTCCTTGAAGTGGAACATAAGAGCGACTTCTCTTCAGAACATCTTTTTTCTCATCACCTGATCCACCATGGCCGGAGCAGCAGTAAAGTGGGTGATGGCAAAGAGGACTGTCTTAAAGCATTTATTTCCAACTCAAAGTAAGTGAGGTTTTTAAAGTTTAGAAAGAGTTTTAAACATAAAAGTGATTTAGAGAATTTAAAGCAACTCATGATGTATTTGCCAGTTATTTGCAATAACAGAAAACCGGAGGAAACTTGTCACCCAGCAGGGGCCTAGATAGATCATGGCACATCTTACTTGTGACTGTCATGCACCTGTCACCAACATGTGGAGGTCTCCAAATAGAAAGAAGTAAAAGCATGTCAGAACAGAGTCTGCATGCAATCTTGTTAGTGTGTTTAGAAGATGATTGTCATTTGTATGTGCATAAGTATGAGTACAGACTCAGAGTCCTGGAGCAGACCATGCTTGACTGTGTAGATGCTTGTGGGCCTAGCTGAGGACAGTGAGGGACTAGTAAGGGAGCTTCCTCCTGTTTGAAGCATTTATACTTAGGATGTTGCCACGTGTTACTTTCTATTTGTTCTTAAAATTTGCAATAAAGGGTAAATTCACAATCCCGTTTCCCAAAGATAATCATCATTAACATTTTGGTGGATTTCTTTTGTGGTTTTTTCTATATGCTTAGCCATTTCTAAAAAATAAGATGTAATTTCTCCCTTTCTTTTCTAAAGAACCGTGTGTAGTCTACTCCTTTCTCAGAAGCCCATTCATTCAAGTTTGACAGTCAAAGTGCGGACCCTATAACTAGAATACTAAAGTCCTATTTTGTAGCTGACTGTGTTTCCCTCCTCATCTTCTGTCTGTGTACCCTGCTCTCCCTTTCTGAAGTGAACATGGTTGGAAGGCGACTTGCTTTTTCCTGTTTAGCTGTGTCAGCTGACTGCTTTATCCATCTCTGCTTGTTTATTGATTTAAGGGGAAAAGAGCTGTTTGAAGACTAGGGTAAAAAGTATAGTAATATATAGGCAGTTTGGTTCACTTGAGGCAAGAAAAAAATGTTTAAGACCTTTGTTGAATAGAATGTTTAGATGTTTGCTAAATCCTCCTCTTACAGGAAACCTTCCACCCCCGGCCATCTGCTCACCCCACTCCCCTGTTTATTAGGGCTTTGGGCATATTAATGTTTATTATACCACATTCAAAGTAAAATCAACTTAGAATTAAGTACATGGAGAGGTGATTGCTAAGAGACTTCAGATGCAAACTGAAATACGAGTCAAAAGAAACAAAACTCGGTCTGCCCAGGATGATCTTGGAGCATTTCTATATTGAGAGTTGGAAGAAAGCCCTCACTGTGTAGCCACCCCTTTCCCTGACGGGAGCCCAGCCTTGAGGTTGATAACAAACAAATCAGACCTGATCAGATGTTTTTTTGGAGAGTCACTATTCACCCCATCTCTTCCCAAACAACTTTTTTGTTCTCCAATGAAAATAGTCCTCAAAGGGAAATGTTTTGCCGACATAGAAGAGGTGAAACAAAAAACAGCAGAATCATTCAAAGGCATCAAAATGAACGAGTTCAAAAACTGTTTTGAGCAGTGGAAAAAGCATCTCGATAGGTATATTGCATCAAATGGAGAGGACTTTGAAGGTGACTGAAGTTTAAACATGTAAGAATAAATACACAGTTTTTGATAAATTCTGTCTTTGGGGCTCCCACTCGTATTTGGTAAATGAGAGCTGTAACCAAAACTTAGGTCGCCCACCTTAGCTTTATTCAGTGTATTTTCTGCTGTGTCTCCTTACTTGTATTAACTTAAAATACTGATCATTTGATGGTGGGACAAATTTTGGCTTTCATAGCTCTTATCAAAATGCAATGAAATATATATATGTGTGTGTGTGTGTAACAAGAATAGCCTGTAGGTTACAGAAATTATTGTTACTGAAATTCTTTTTGGCACATGATTGGTGTTAACTTTGACATTGGTCCTGATTATATATTTAGAACCTCTGATACTTCCGTATCTAGGGTTATTTTCCTGGTAAAGTGTCAGGTAATCCATTTTTCAACTATTAATTTTGCAGAAACCAACATTTTAGAGGCAGTTTGACAATCACTTTTCTGTAGGAGACAGTAATGACCATGGTTAGGAGACAGTGATGACCACAGTTCAGTTCTAGACCTTAAGGACCTTATTTAGACTTGTAACTGAACTTTAGACTTGTAGCTAAAACAGAAATACCGGGAATATGGGGTGAGGTGTGATCAGTTGTCATGAGGGCACCAACAAACGTCTGTGATTATAGCAGAACTCAAATTGAGTTTCTTCTAACTAAAATACTGTTGTCTTGAATTTTCTTTCCTGCCACCTAATTCAGCCACCCAGTCATGTTTCTTTCAGTGAAGATGTGCATTACCTAGCTGTTTTATATTTAGAGACTTCATACTTTCTTTAATGTCATCCTAATCCAAGCATAATTGGGAAGATTCTCAGCAATGCCAAACAAGAAGATAAAATCTGTGGAAATGGTCAGACATGGTGACTCACGCCTGGAATCCCAGCACTTTGGGAGGCCAAGGCAGGAGGATTGCCTGAGCCCAGGGGTTCAAGACCAGCCTGGGCAACATAGTGAGACATTTTCTCTAAAATAAATCAAAAAATTAGCTGACTGTGGTGGTGTGGGTCTATGGTTCCAGTTACTTGGAAGACTGAGGCAGGAGGATTACCTGAACCCAGGAGGTCGAGGCTGTGGCAGCCATGATTGTGCCACTGCCCTCCAACCTGGGCAGCAGAATAAGACTCTGACTCAAAAGTAAAAAAATAAATAAAGTACATAAACTGTACCTCAGAATACTTCCAAATGCCCCCTGTTCTCTTGGAAGGGTTGGAATACCCAGTATTTGATTTTCTTCCTACCTTTGCTCCTGATCCTGCTACTCCCCTCTGCACAGGGCAGTGACTCTCCTTAGCAACCTTAGCTACTTCCTTACCCTGCAGAGCACCTTGCACATCCTCTCCCCTGGAGAGGTTTTCCTGACCCTGTCACAGTGTTTGGTAGCCTGTGTGTGTGCCCCCTCCCGTTGCCCCCATCCCACTGTGCTGACCCTTTGAATTGGGAGTGTCTGCTTGTCTCTCATAAGCAGACCGTGACCTTGGAGGGCAGGGACTGGGTCCTCATGGGAAGCAGTAGTGCTGGTTGACTGACTGGAACTAGCTTTAAATTTGTGTAAGAACGTATACTCAAATTAACCAAATCTCTTTTACTGTTTGGGGTTTTTGCAGATGGAGCTTTATATTGTGTTTGTCATAAGTCTACGTACTCTCCTCTACCAGATGACTATAATTGGTATGTATTAAGATTCAATGGAAGAAATAACAGTCTTAGCTAAAATGATTTATTTCTTCATTCAGTGTTTTCTGTTTTCTTTTCTGATTATTCTTTCCTTAATTTTATTTTTAAAAATAATTTAGATGATCTTATTTACCCAGTATCTGGGCTTATAAAAATTTAAATGAAAATCATTATCATTGTGTTTCATTGAATACTTAATTTGTTGTGAGGCAGACATGCTGTTGGAAAAGCTATCTTTTCTTCCTGAAGTATACTTCCGCTTTTTGGAAAAGTTAATTAGTTTTTATAGGGTTCATTTCTATTAGCTTATGCCATTATTTATCTTATCATTTGTTTGACATTGAATAATCCTAAATTACAGATATTTAATTTAATCACTACTTATTTGGTATTGTTTAGTGCCAATCACTATGATAAGAACTGGGAATAGCATATGTCAATGTCTTTTTCTATAGCATACTCTTGTGCAGAAACTGCAATGTATTTTTTGAGTCACTCAGGCTGGAGTGCAATGGCACTCTCACGGCCACCCCAGCGTCGACCTACTGGGCTCAGGCGATCCTTCCACCTCAGCCTTCCTAGTAGCCAGAACTACAGGCGTCCGCTACCATGCCCGACTAATTTTTTGGTTTATTATAGAGGTGCAGTCTCACGAAGTTACCCAGGCTGTTCTCGAACCCGTGGGCTCAGGTAGTCCTCTCACCTCGGCCTCCCCAAGTGCTGGGATTACAGGCTTGAGCCACTGTACCCAGCCTATATTTTCTTAAGCTGTGTTTTTTTACTTTTTGCAGTTTTTCTTTTTTTTTTTTTGAGTCGGAGTCTCATTCTGTCACCCAGATTGGAGTGCAGCGGCACACTCACCGCCACACCAGCGTCAACCTGCTGGCCTCCGGCGATCCTTCCACCTCAGCCTTCCAAGTAGGTGGAACTACAGGAGTATGCTACCACGCCTGGGCTAATTTTTGATTTATTGTAGAGACAAGGTCTCGCCAAGTTGCCTGGGCTGGTCTCGAACCCACGGGCTCAGGCAATCCACTTGCCTCATCCTCCCAGAGTGCTGGGATTACAGGCTGAGTCACCAAGCCCGGCCTGCAATTTTTTTTTTTTTGAATCAGAATCTTTCTGTTGCCACGCTGGAGTACAGTGGCACAATCACGACTCACTGCAGCCTCAACCTCCTGGGCTTGGGCGATTCTCCCCTCTCAGCCTCCCAAGTAGCTGGGAGGACAGGCATGTGCCACCACACTCAGATAATTTTTGGATTTTTTTGTAGAGATGAAGTCTCACTATGTTGCCTAGGCTAGACTTACTGCAAGTTTTAATACAGATCTTTTCTTCTCTCTTGATACTAGTTTTAATTGTATATTTAGTGAGTACTAATATAAGTAGTGATGAAATTAGACTAGGTAACTTTTTTAACCTGGGAAGTTTTAGTCATATAAGTGTTTTATATTATATAAAATTCTACCTCTTATCAAAAATCATTTGTTAGACTAAATGTTCATTGTAGCCATTTCATGGTATTCAGTCTTAAAATCATGGTGAAGCAATCTAATGCCTGACTCTGTTAGCTAAAAGGTGCTTTATTGCTGGCCTAGTAGTATTTTGTGGAGTTAAGCTGGCATGTTCTATGGGGTGGTCTTCAGTGGCCTCTTGTGTCATGGGTACCAGGTTTGCCAGTCCCGCAATGTAGTGGCTTTTCTTCAGCAATTTGTGATTAATATAATTTTAGCTCTAAGAAACATCATTCTGCCATGACTACACTGTAACTTTATTTCTAAAATGTTCTTTTTTTAGCAAAGTCGAGCTTGCACTGACGTCTGATGGCAGGACGATAGTGTGCTACCACCCTTCTGTGGACATTCCGTATGAACACACGAGAGTATGTAGGAGCAAGTCCCTGCAGCTGTTGATTTGCCGACAGAAGTGTTCACATGCCCTACAATATCCAGAGGGAAGGGAGTTGTCTGATTTTGTTTGGTTTAGATATTTTCTGACTTTTTTATTTTACTGTTTTGATTTTTCTCTTATTTCTTTTTCATCTTTCTTCAAAGGCTTATTTCAGAACACAAGGTGAACCATTTAAACACAACTATGGTATCAGTGTTCTGGTCTAAAAAAAATCAGTAATGCATTAAAGTGTGATGTCTTGTGCCAGCACTAGGTAGCAGGACTATTTCAGCTTCGTTTTAATCTGATGGACCACTGTTGTCTGGTCTGCCACTGACTGAAACATCATTCTGTAGCCCATGACTACACTTCTTGGGCCACCTCCATTACTCATATGTTGCCTTTTAAAGAAGTCTTGTTCACACGCATAAGCTCACTATAAGTACGTGCTGTCACTTTTCTTTTCTTTTCTTTTGAATTAGGGTCTCACTCTGTAGCCCAGACTGTAGTACAGTGACTACAACAATCACAGCTCATGGCAGCCTCAACCGCCTGGGCTCAGGAGATCCTTCTACCTCAGTGTCCAAGTAGCTGGGCCTGCAGGCATGCACCACCATGCCTGGCTTATTTTTTTACTTTTTTTTTATAGAGATGAGGTCTTGCTATGTTGCCCAGGCTGTTCTCCAATTCCTGGGCTCAAGTAATACTTCTGTCTCAGCCTCCTAAAGTGTTGGGATTACAGGCTTGAACCACCATGCCCAGCTCACAGACTTTTTTTTTTTTAATGAATTGTTTCTTCTCTGATTGTAAATTCAGATTTTCATTGTATTGTAATGCAAGCGGGGGGGGGGGACCCAGACAAAACCCAGAATTTATTTATAAAAAATTGTGTATTTATTTTTACATGTCTAAACTGCAGTCACCTTCAGAGCACTCTCCATTTGATGCAATACACCTATTGAGATGCTTTTTCCATTGTTCAAACTGTTTTTGACTGGGCCTGGTGACTCATGCTTGTAATCCCAGCACTTGGGAGGTGGAGGCAAGAGAATTGCTTGAGCCCAGGGATTCGAGACCAGCCTGGGCAACTTGGCAAGACCTTAACTCTACAATACATAAAAAGTTAGCCAAGTGTGTTGGTGTGTGCCTGTAGTTTCAACTACTTGGAGGTCTGAGGTGGAAGGATCACCCGAGCCCAGCAAGTCAAGGCTGCGGTAGCTGTGAGTATGCCATTGCACTCCCACCTGGGTGACAGAGTGAGATTCCAACTCAAAACAAAAACAACAGTTTTTAGACTTGTCAGTTTTGATGCCTTTTAGTGTGTTTGCCATTTTTTGTTTCACTTCTTCCACATCAGCAAAATGTTTCCCTTTGAGGACTTTTTTCATTCGGGAAAACAAAAAAAAAGTTCCACTTGGAGAGATTGGGTGACTAGGTAGGGTGGGGCACAGGGTCATGCTGTTTTGGTCAAAAACTGCTGAACACTCAGCACCATGTGGGCAGGTGTACTTGTAAATCACCCGTCATGAAATGGGCAAGCGTGTTGAAAGAATCTCCAAAAAGAATTCACTTAAGCTGAACACAGCCTCTCACAACAGTGCTGGCTGGTACACTGATGCCTATGGGTTCCTAGAACACTCACCTAGCAGAGGATCCCTGTACTACAAGGGGCCCGCCCTCCAAAAGATAATTCCAGATTTTTGGGTCCCTCTTGTATGTATAGTAGAGCAGGGCAATGTTACAGGCTTGTTACATACATAACCATTGTTCATGTTATTTTCTTTATGATAGCATTAACAATATTGAATGTTATAGTCTTTGTTACATACACTGATCTCACTAAAGGTACCGTAATGAGTCACTGATGGTGATTGTCTTTGTATAAAAACTCAGTGCTGACTGACACTCATTCACGTTGACGCTGTCTGCTGCTGATTATTTTGTAGCCTATCCCTCGACCTGATCCTGTGCATAATAATGAAGAGACACATGATCAAGTGCTGAAAGCCAGATTAGAGGAGAAAAGCGGACATCTTGAGCAGGGACCCATGATAGAGCAGCTGAGCAAGATGTTCTTCACCACCAAGCACCGCTGGTATCCACGGGGACAGTACGTTCTATTTTCTCTCTTCAGTTCCCACCAGACATGCTAAAGATGTGCTTTTCATGCAGGGACAAACTCTGAAGTTGTATTCTGCATATGGAAATTAGCCCCAAGGATGATCACCTACTATAGTGTGCTCTTACCTTTACATATAATTTAACTAGAATGAAATAGTACTTCTTTTTTTCCCTTTATTTTAATGAGGGATTTACCCAGAGCTTTCAGTGAATTTTGTGAATTCTTGGACATTTTTCCATTCTGTAATATGGTCATTTAGTATATTGTTTTTGTTCATCTTTCTGATAAATAACTGCTTGTGTTCTCAGCCATTTATTCATTTCTTTAGCAGATTTTGAGTAATTGCAAAAAAGATTGAGTCCAGCAGATGATTGGGCAATATATATTGTTTTTAGCTCCTTTAGAAATGACAGTTGCCCATCTGTTTGCAATGCATTTTATTCCATCCATTCTTACCTGCTGACTTTGGCTATAAATAATTTTTAAAAAAATCTTCCTGGCTGGGCTTGGTGGCTCAGCCTGTAATCCCAGCACTTTGGGAGACCGAGATGAGTGGATTGCCTGAGCCCGCAGGTTTGAGACCTGCCTGGGCAACTTGGTGAGACCTCATCTCTACATTAAATCAAAAAATTAGCTGGGCGTGGTAGCGCGTGCCTGTAGTTCCAGCTACTTGGAAGGCTGAGGCGGAAGGATCGCCAGAGCCCAGCAGGTCGAGGCTGTGGTGGCCGGGAGCGGCCATTGCACTCCAGTCTGGGCAACAGAGTGAGACTCCAACTCAAAAAAAAAAAAAGAAATCTTCTTCCTTATTTATTTTCTTTCATACCAAACTGTGAGATGTTTTTGTTGTTTATTTGAAGAACGCTTTTTTTTTTAGATGGGGGGGTCTCACTATGTTGTCCAGACTGGTCTTGAACTCCTAGCCTCAAGAGATCCTCTCTCCTCAGTCTTGGAGTAATTGGGTCTGCAGATGTGAGCCACCACGCCTGGTTTGTTTGATCAAACTTTGCTCTTATTCACTTGTGTGACTCAGTAACTTGCACTGGGCTGGCACATTGGTGGCAGGGTACATGTGTGGGATTAATGACTGTACATTCTTCAAGCTGCTGTACTACATTCTGGGTGGTCAGAACCTTAATTCCTGTTGGCAAGTTGTTTGTAGTCAAGGAGAGAAGGCAAGAGAGCAAATACACGATTAACCTGTATGTGGCTGAGCATTGAAGGATAGTTGGGCTTAACCCTGGGAGTGAGGGGGAGAGCCTTGCAGGGAGCAGCACATCAGGTCAGGTGTGCAGCAGAGCTGCCAGTGTTGCCACTTTTGTGGAACCTGAGAGTACCCGTCGTAACAAAATGGAGCTCCTCTCCTGCCTCAGAAGCCCCTCCTTTCACAGTCTATGTAATAAAAAGGATACTTCCAGCCGGGTGTGGTGGCTCAAGCCTGTAATTCCAGCACTTTGGGAGGCCTAGGTGAGAGGATTGCCTGAGCTTGGGATTTCGAGACCATCCTGAGCGACATGGCAAGACCTCGTCTCTACAATAAATAAAAAATTAGCCAGGCATGGTGGCACTTGCCTGTGGTTCCAGCTACTTGAAAGGCTGAGGCAGAAGGATCACTTGAGCCTAGCAGGTCGAGGCTGCAGTGGCTGTGAGTGTGCCATTGCACTCTAGCCTGGGTGATAGAGTGAGACTTCGACTCAAAAAAAAATAGATATTTCCATATTGATTTCCCAAGGAAAAAAATTTTTGATTTTTGGTCAGTGTTACCTTTTAATTCCTGCTTGTATTATTATTATTTTTTTTTTTTTTTGAGTTGGAGTCTCACTGTCACCCAGCCTGGAGTGCAGTGGCTGCTTCCAGCCACCGCAGCCCTGTTCCTCCTCAGCCTTCCAAGTAGCTGGAACTACAGGCGTGCGCTACCACGCCCAGCTAATTTTTGATTTATTGTAGAGATCAGGTCTGGCCAAAATTGCCCAGGTGAGTCTCGAACCCACGGGCTCAGGCAATCCACTCACCTCAGCCTCCCAGTGTGAGATTATAGGCTGAGCCACCGAGCCCGGCTCCTGCTTGTATTTTGTATTTTCTTTTTGATTTTTTTTTCTTACTTAATACTCACTTTGTTTATACATGCTATCTGGAGTTTTCCCTGTCTTTGCAATTGTAAGTTTGGGGTATGTGGAAACAGAATGGGAGTATTTCATAGCCCCATATCTTAGATTATTACCATATTTTTTTTTTCCTATCTCCCAGACTGGATTATAATGGCATGCTCACGAACACTGCAGCCTCAACTGGCTGGGCTCAGGTGATCCTTCCACCTCAGTCTTCCAAGTAGCTGGAACCACAGGCATGCATCACCACACCCAGCTAACTTTTCTGATTTATTGTAGAGATAAGGTCTCACCAAGTTGCCCAGCCTGGTCTCGAACCCCTAGGCTCAAGCAATCCTCTCACCTCCACCTCCCAAAGTGCTGGGATTGCAGGTGTGAACCACCACACCTGGCATCATTCCCATATTCTAAGATTTCCTTTTTTGTGTCATAATATCCCTCATGTTATCTTTTATTTCTATCACGTTATCTAGATATTTGTGTTCAAGCCTTGTTTGAACTTCTATGCTGGCTTTCAGTACTTGTTTCTTCCTGCATGTTTCATGATGCTACAGTTTTTTGCAAGTGTTGTTCATAGACAGATCCCTGAAATTACAAAATCCTTGAAAGGTATAAAACTCGAAGCCGAAAGACTGAAGGCAGGAATACCGCTGGGTGTTTTAAAGCCAGGCATGTGATCTTCACACACTGTGTCTAAACTCTACCTATATTTAATTTTATTTACTTAATCTTATGGCCAATTAGTTCTGAATGCTAATTAATTTAATCTCCTGGTATTTTTTTCCACTAAAACTCAAAGCACTTTCCATTGTAAGTTTACTTTAATTAGCTGAAATTGATTGTCCCAATATCTGTCCTAATAAAGAGCTTGGCAGATAAAACCCAGATACTCATTTGTATGTATAAAGAAACAACTTACCTATGGACATTGTCCTTGTGGATGCATCTTCTTGCTGAATTTTATTTTATTTATTTATCTTTTGAGTCAGAGTCTCACTGTGTTGCCCAGGCTGGAGTGCAGTGCCACCATCATGGATACCACAGCCTCAACCTGCGGGGCTCAGGATTCTTCTGCTTCAACCTTCCAAGTACCTGGGGCTACAGGCACATGCCACCATACCCAGCTAATTTTTTGATTTATTGTAGAGATGAAGTCTCACTATGTTGCCTAAGCTGGTTTCAAACTCAGGCTCAAGTAATCCTCTCACCTCAGCCTCCCTAAGTGCTACAAGTATGAGCCACCACGCCTGGCCTCTTTTTATATATTGTTGGATTTGATTTGTTAAAATTTTTTGTGGAATTTTTGCTTCTTTGTTTTTTAAGGATGTTGGTCAGTAGTTGTGTGGTGGCTTTATCTGTTTTTGGTATCAGGATAATGGTTGCATCATAGAATGAGCTTGGAAGTATTCTCTCCAGTTCTCTGGAAGAATGTGCATAGAATGGGTGTTATTTCTTTCTTAAATGTTTGTTAGAATTCAGTGAAGCCATCTGGGTCTGGAGTTTTCCTTGTGGGGAGTTTTTTATTTCCACATTTTATTTCCATATTACTATGCTGGATCTAGAGGGCTCCTCAGTTTATCTGCTTCTTCTAAAGATGCCTTGGTAGTTTGTATATTTCAAGAAACTTGCCTGTTTCATCTATGCTGTTGGGTTTACTTGCATGTAGTTAAGGCTTACTTGCATGTAGTTACATTGTTCCCTTATCCTTGAACGTTTTTATAATCTGCAGTGATGTCACCTCTCTATTCCTGATATTGTTATTTTGTTGACTTTTTTCAAAGAAGCAGCTTTTGGTTTTATTGATTCTATTATTTTCTGTGTTATTGATTTTTGCTCATTGTTTTCTTCCTGCTGCTTGTTGTGGGCTTAATGTTCTCTTGTTCTAGTTTTCTAGGGCTTATAATTGGAAATCTGTCTTTTTAAATGTAAGTATCTTAGTGTTAGACATTTTCCTCAGGTGATCCTTCCACGTCAGCCTTCTAAGTAGCTGGAACCACAGCCATGCACCACCATGCCCGACTAATTTTTTGATTTTTTGTAGAGATGAGGTCTCGCCGAGTTGCCCAGGCTGGTCTTGAACCCTTGGGCTCAGGTAATCCTCTTGCCTCTACCTCCCAAAGTGCTGGATTACAGGCCTGAGCACTGCACTTTTTGTTTTTCAAATATTTTATGTTGAAGATGTGAGGTACAGTTCAGGGTTAGGTATACAAATGTTCATTATGTGGGTACCCTTTTGGTGAGGTATGCCCCCCTCCAGGCAGTTTCCCACTACTGACAATCCCGCCTCCCCGCCTCCAGTTTTTTACTTTTGTAGAGATCAGATCTCAAGTTGCTCAAGCTGGTCTCAAATATCTGAACTCACGCAATCCTCTCAGCTCTGCCTCCCTAAATGCTTGGATTATAGGCATGAGCCACTGCACCCAGCCATGTCTTTATTTTTCAAGTGGATTTCTTACAGGCAACGTGTAGTTGTGCCTTTATTTTATATCTTTTCTAACTGCAATGCTCCCTCTCGTTTCAACATCAAGCTGTTTTAAATGCATTATCCTTCAATTTTCAGTATTTTTACTCTTTGTCTGTCATCTATCCTGACTTTATTCATGAAACTTTATTTGATTATATTCACTTTGAATAGCTGCTACCCCTATTAGCACAACTATATATTCCTGCAATTTATTAGGCGTCTATTAATGTTATATTTGTAGGTAATTTTTTGGTTACGTCTTCTACTCTAAATTATTCTCTCTTTGTCAGAAATGCACTTTCTGCTTTGTAATTCTCTGTAAGACATCTAAACAGTATCCTTAACACAATGCAGGGGTGCTAGGTTACTATATTTCACCTAGTTATCATCACAGCTTCATTAAGGTGTTCTGTTCCTCT